TGTCTGATGTCAGCAGGGGAAGAAAGGCAAGGAAGAAAGGAGGGACAGATGGCCAGGTGTGGTTCTGAGGCCCAAGGCAGTGCAGAAGGGACTAAATGCTGAAGGGAAGGGTCCAGAGAGGAGAGAAGCCAGGGCCCTTGGAGCCAGGGGTTCATCGGCTTTGCGGAGGGCAACCCCATCCCCGCGCCTAGTCTTTAAAGTTTTCACAGTGGGGACGGAGCACCAAACCTGGAGTCCTGAATCTAGATCTGCCCCTGCATAGGATTCCAATGCATACAACTGACTTTGTAACCCAAACCATGTGTCTGTACATTGCGTACACGTGGCTCGTTACAACAGACTGGGTCATTTTTAAGGTTCCTGGGATATGACGTGCAAGCATTGCTGTGAGGTGCTACCATGGTCAGGGAGGAAACTGAGTCTACCCTACTACAGTCTGCCCTTCTCGAGCAGTTCCTACCAGCCCCGGACTCGGGATCCCCTGCAGAGGCTGGCCCCTCTATTGGAATTTCTCCTCTGACTTCCTGGACATCCAACAGCCACTAGTGCTCACGGGCTCTGGTTTCCACCATCTGTGTGGGAGCTGAGCTGCTCACACCTGCCTTGGCAGACACAGGCAATAAAAGACCTGGCTGCGTTTAGAGCCTGGCCCCTCCTGCCAGCTTTCTACCCTCCTCGCCTTGAGTGAAGCCCAGAGGCAGGACACTGGGTCCCAATATAGCTTTGTCCCTGCCTGTCCTTGTACCAGGCATCCAGTCTGTCCCCTGCCCTTGTATCTGGCATCCAGTCTATCCTTGCTCTGGGTTCTGGATGCCTCCTCCAAGACTGCAGGGAAGTTTTCCTCCAGCTCTTCTGGTCTTAACACCCGTTACCAGGTACCCAGAAACACCTGGAGTTCAGGGTTCCCTCTGGGGGGTGGGGGTGGGCTGTTGTAAGTAGGACAAAAGAATTTCTGTTCTCCTGAGACTAGCTGGGGGACAGTTCCAGGTGTTCAGGCAAACAACAGAAGAGGGCAGATGAGGTGGCTCAGTAGGTAAGAGTGATAAAAGGAGAACACCAAGTCTGCAAGCTGTCCTCTGAGCTCCACACATGAGCTGGGGCGCGCGCGCACACACACACACACACACACACACGTAATTTAACAAAAAAGAAAGAAAGAATGTATATGATGTTAACGATCTATCCACCACCTGAGCTGGGAACAGGAATCTGCTCCTCAGTGCCATGTATCTCATAGCATGGTAATGTGGTGGAAGGTGTGCACACACGCATGCATGCAGGTGCTCATGCATGTGAAAGCCAGAGGACAACCTCAGCTTGGGTTCCTCAGCTACCATCCGGCTTGTTTGCTTTAAGGCAGGGTCTCTCACTGGCCTGGAGCTCGCCAAACAGGATAGGGTGGGCTGACCAGTGAGCCCCAAGACCTCCTGTCTGCCTCCCAAGTACTGGGGTAACAAACACACGCCACCACGCCTTGCTTTCTGACAGGGTGAGGGTGGGGTGTGTTTGAGGGTTTCTAGGGATCATGATCAGGTCTCCCGCTGATCAGGTCTCTGTCAGAGGCAAAGCGCTATGACAGATAAGCTATGTCTGCAGCCGGAGCTAAATGGATGTGAGGATTCGTCCTGTGGAGTCTCGCAGTACAGGCTATGAGGTGGGATGTCAGGAGGGAGGGCTGCAAGCCACACACACACACACACACACTCACACACACTCACACACACTCACACACACTCACACTCACACACACTCACTCACACACACTCACACACTCACACACACTCACACTCACTCACACACACACCACACACATACTCACACACACACATCCACACACACACACACACACATACACACACACACACATACACACACACACACACTCCCGCCATCCCTTCCCTAGGAAGAATGCCGGGAGCCCGCAGCCGGTGACGCACAGCCCTCAGCCACGGACGGCCCACGTTTGCCACAACCTTTTGGTTTCCCGTGCTGTCTGATGCCCATACCAGAAGATATTGAATATCCAGCCCAAAGGGCCCCTCAGGCTCTGAGGCTGCATATAGCTATATAAAAACGGAGGCCACAGGGGGTGGCGGGGCTGCCAGACCCCAGGAGCAATTTGGCTGCTCTCGGCGATGACGTGGACCTTTCCCCAGGCTTCAGCAGTTAGCCCCTCAAAGCAAGCCTGAATCATTCCCTCCAAACCTCAGCCCCACCAGGCACACGTCATGCCCAGACTCCAGAGGGAGAGGAGGCAGCCAGTCTCCCGCTCTGGCAGAGACATTTGGAGCACCACAGAGGTGGCTTATGCCATGAGCCCTCTAGTCCCAATCCTGCCACAAACGGAGCACCCAGTCAGCTTCCCTCCCAAGGCCTCCATTTCTGCATCTGTATTATGGGGACAGTAAAGCCTGCCCTGCTCCCCAGAAAGTGCCAAGAACCCCCAGAGAGATGAGTTCAGGGAGAATGGAGAGGGGACATAGGGATCACGCTTGTTCTTTGAGAAGCACAAAGCCAGTCTTGCTGCGAGATTTGTTCATGAGGACTTAAGAATTGACTGACATTTTGCTCCATCTTCGCCACTGCCAGGACACACGGCCAACTGCGAGTGGCCACCAATCTTTATGTGTGGCTTACCCAGTCCCCCTTCTGTACCTCAGTGTTTCTTAGCATTGGTGAGACAGTGAAAGGTTGGCGGTGTAGCAAGGGTTAGCCCCATTTCACAGCTAGGAAAACCGAGGTTTGGCTGGTTAAATTTCTCTAGACCAAGCAGTAAGCTGGTAACAGGATGGAGACTCAGCTCTGGGATTCTCAACTAAATCTCCATCTACTACCAGGACCCTCCAAGTAGCCCCGGACCTGAGTGTTCCACTTGGAAGTGGGAAGTGCAGGAGGAGCCCACCCGGGGCAGAACGGGAGTGAGTTCTAGAAGACACGTGGAGAGGGATGTCCTGGAAGATGGCGGTGGTCATCCTAATCCAGAACATGCTACACCGAGTGCTCCTTGAAGTTTCAGCACTCATCTGAAAGCCCTCGCCCTCCTCCCTCTGAGGAACGGAGCAGCATTGCCTACGCAATCTGTCCCAGAATTAAGTAGCCAAGAGTTGTCTAGACAAAGAGATTTTATAGGCCCAATTAACCCCTGCCAGTCAGGCACAGGCACACCTAATAAGGGGCTATATTTAGAGGCTGTCATTATCTGGCTCCCTGGGGACAAACCTCCACTCTTATTTCACAGACATTTCATTTCTAACGAAGCTCTGACAATCTCCCTTCAGCCTGGCATCCTTTTCTGACAGCCTGGACGTGGACCATGTGGCCACGAGGAGCCGCTGCTGCCCTGTGTAGTCAGAGCCCCAGAGGCAGTGTGGCGGGCAGCGGGGGTTAGGAGAGCTCCTGCCTGTCTCCTCTATCCCATTCTGTTCTGCGGCTCTCAGGGTCTGGCAGCTTCACTGTAGTGAGCGGGGGTACCCATCCCATGACAACACACTCTCCCCAGGAAGGGTTGGGGTGTGTGTGTGTGTGTGCGTGTGTGTGTGTGTGTGTGTGTGTGTGTGTGTGTGTGTGTGTGTGTGTGTGTGTGTGTGTGTGTGTACGCACTCCTATGTATGGGTACTCAAGCACCGTGCATATGTGTAGAGGCCAGAGATCAACCCTGGTGCTGTTTCCAGGCACCATCCACATTGCTTTCTGGAGACAGCCTGGACCGTGCCAATAAGGCTAGACTGACTGAGCCCCTGAGATCCACTCATCTCCACCACCCCACCCCAGTGCTGAGGGTACAAGAATACACTGCCATACCTGACTTTTAAATGTAGGTCCTGGGACTCGAACTTGGGTCCTCATCCTTGCACAGTAATTGCTTTACCGACCGGGCCAGCTCAGAGGTCACCATTCTTAGCTTACTATTAGCTGTAAACCTTTGAGCAGAGAGTTATACAAGTGCCCAAGCCCCAGAGGGCTCCAGGTACTAGAATGCCACACACTGATGGCAGGTGGCCATCTAGGCTTCACCGCAGGTCACAGGTTCCTGTGGCCTCCTGGGATAATACTGCCCCCTGGAGGTTGGGAACGAGACACACAGGCCAAGAAGGCACCTCTAGATGCCCTTAGGGCCATCATGTCCAGGTGGAATCCACCAACCACAGGGGATGCTATTCCAACAGTTTGTGTGTCCCCAACGTCACAAACTTTGCCTCTCTGCATTGTGCATGGCTCACGTCCCTGGGAATGTGTGTTTGTGCGCTCTTCCTGTGGGTAGAAGGCTGCCGAGACTCACAAATGAGGTGGCTTAAACAGCAGGAACAGGTTTTCCCACAGACATGGAGGCAGGTCTGCCTCTCTCCTGGCTCTGGGGCAGACTTTTTCCTTGATCCTTCTAGATGCCAGGAGCACCTAGTGTCCCCCAGGTGTGGCAATAGCGTCTTTGAAGGCCTGGCGTCTTCTTCTCCCGTGTCTCTTCTCTGTGTGTCCCTCATAAAGCACCTTCATTGGCCAAAGCCCACGGGGATCATTCAAGATTATCTCAAGCTGGAGCTTTGCCTTATGTCCATCCGCACGGGCACAGGCATAGGCAGGCAGTGGCTTCCCTCGGCCCCTCCTCCTCTGGCTGCCTTGACCACCTAAAGCAGACGGAATGACCCCTGAGCAACACCCCTCACCCACACTGAGCAAACCAAAGGATTTCCTCATGAGATGGAATGAGGCTCCCACGGCTCCTCCTCGCTGCAACCGCCATCTCTCCCTCGGCTTCACTCCCTCGGCCTCTCTCCCCGGCTTCTCTCATGCACCGCCCCTCCTATGGATGCTGCAGGTCTCCACCTCTGTATCCCCAGACCTGGCACCAGTCCCCCCCACACCCAACTTGATACTGAAAGCCCAGCTTCCCTCATGAGGGAAGTCCTCCACACTGTCCCACCTTCCCTACCTCCACCAAGGCCAGACTCTGAGGGAAGGGGTGCCTCCCCCAACCACCTGGCCCCTCTTCTTTTCCTTCACAGGTTGGTTGTGGGTGCCCCACTGGAAACCAATGGCCATCAGAAGACAGGAGACGTGTACAAGTGTCCGGTAACCCAGGGCAACTGCACCAAGCTCAACCTGGGTAAGTAGCCACTGGCCTCTTCTTGACTGCCAGTCGGGTACAGAGCAGGGTCTGGCACCCACCCGTGTTCGTCGTCACAGGCTTCCTCTCAGCCCGTGTTACATACAGAGCAGACTCTGACAAATGTCTACATTTACAGCCGCCTGTTTCTAGCTGTCCTGTGAGGTGCACCACTCTGCTCACACTGCAAATGAGGAAGCTAGGCTGAGGAGACAGCCCGGCCAGTAAAGCCTCTGCCCGGAAGCATGAGGGTCTGAGTTCAAACTCTAGAACCTACGTGTAAAGAAAAAGCCAGGTGCGGTAGTGCCGTTCGATGTCCCAGTGATGGGGCACTGGGATAGGCATATGCTTGGAGCGCTGGCTAGCCAGCCTGGCATATTTGGCGAGTTCCAAGCCAGTAAAAGACCTGTCTCAAACAGAAAGATAGGCAGTGCTGGAGGGAAGACACCCAAGGCTGTGCCCTGACCTTCACATACACACACACAGGGAATTAGGGAGATGGAGACAGACAGAGACAGAGGAGGAACCTGAGGCCTAAGAGATGAGGCATCTTTCACTTAGTCACGTAGCTCACCCTTCTACAGGGACTGACCCGGATTTATGGCCACCCTGCAAGCGCTGTGCAGGACACAGGCCTCCAGTGTCATCCACTGCCCATGTACTCAGGGCTTTCAGTCTCTGCAGAACGAATGTGTTCTTGTTTCTGATCTTGAAACAGAAGTCTCGGTAGCTAGGTCTGTGTCTGTGTGTCGTCGGCAGTAGCGTCCACCAGGGGCTAGGCCTGGCCACATCCTGCCAGGCATTTCTGCTCACTCAATTCCCACCACACAGAGAGAGACTGGACCATCCAACAGATGAGAAAGTGACAGAATGAGGAGACAAGAGGACATGCTCAGGACCACCTGGCTAGTAAGCAGTGTGTTTACTAGGATTCCAAGTTATTCGGCATGGCCACCCTGCAACCACCATGCCCAAATGAAGGGTTTTTTTCCTCTGCTAGAGGTGGGGAGACACCGGACAGACAGACACACATACACACACACACACACACACACACACACACACACACACACACACACACACACACACCACTCCTCTAAACACTTCCGTCTTGTCCCAAAGGACAGACAGATAGTGGTTGACCTTGTTCTGCTCAAAAATCTTACATGGGCCACAAAGCCACAATTCTAGGGCTTTTCCTAGAAGAAGATTGGCCTTCCCAGGCCTTTTTCTCCTTCTCCAACAGGGTGCCCCTGCCCTAGAAACTCACATGAAGATCCAAGGAGAAGGGACCCAGCAGGGCAGTCAGCCCACAAGAGGAGTTGACTGTAGTTCTAGAGATAAACAGATGGAGGGAGAGGCCACCATCCAAGAGAAAGCCCAAAGGAGTTGGATTCCCGGGGTCACCAGTTGTCTGTCACACGATGCTGGAGGCTCCCAGGAACCACCTGGGTGAAGAATTCAAACCCGAGCACTTCTGGGGCCCGCGCTTCAGTGAAAACACAGCAGAAGGGAGTCTGGTTGGTGGCTTAAGTGCTCCCCTTCCCGAGGCACAGGCTACCAAAGCAGGTCGCAGGGGGCTTCCCCTCCCCGCTGTCAGTTCCAATGTGTGTCCTGGGGACGCTTCCATCTGTCTCTGCACCTCAGCTATGGCGCTTTCTACCTCAGGTGGAAAGAGGTAGACTGGATGGCCCCTGGAATCTGCTCTGGATCTGCTCTGCACTCTGAAGAGCACTGAGGAGCCGGCAGGGAACATGGCCGTCTGCAGAGTGTGCACAAAGCCCTTCCATCCCCAGCATCTAACAGCTGGTGGTGCATTTGTAATCCTAGCCTTCGTGAGACAGTCAGAAGGACCAGAGGTGCAGGGCCATCCTTGGCTACACACTGAATTCTAGGCCAACCTGGGCTATACAAGACCCTATCCAAAAAAACACAAACACCCAAGAGAAGCAGGAGGGAACAAAGGACCGGACAGCTGCTCCGCCTCCTCCCCGGGGCAGTCTGTGCTGTGCTGTGGTACAGCTGTCACGGTCACCTCTGTTGTTCTGGCCCTGGCCTGTCCCCAGCCCTGCTGACCCGTTGTCCTCTGGAAGCCAGGCCACTTTTCACACAGCAGTCTCCAACACAGCGCAGTGCAGACTCTCAAAGCCCCCGGCAGGGGACACGGGTCTCCCTACAGCAGCTTAGGACTGGCATGATCCAGCCTCTCCCATTCCTGGTCTCCTAAGTATGTGTGCACACACCCCCACGCACATGCACAAGCACACACGCGCACGTATACACGTGCACACACGCTTTGCTTCTGGGGATTCCAAGCTCTTTTCTATGCCTTCAGCATCCCGACAGGATGATCTAGAGAACTTTGACTGTGTCCTTGTCCTGTGGTTTCTGGACGGCCACAGAACCACCTATCCCATCACAGCTGGCTGAGGTCACCAGCTGCAGGGGGCTGCTCCCTGTGAGGGACCCTCAGCCCATGGCAGGTGGGCAGGTGGGTATAAGAGGGGTGTTGGATAACTGAACCTCAGATGGTACGTGTTGCTGGGTGGATCCCCGTACAGAGAAAGCCACCTCTGCGGGGCCCTGTGGTGTGTCCAGGGTGCAGTTAGCTGGCTAGGGAAGGCAGGGCTCTGGACAAGGAGGTGAAGGCTGTGCCGTGGGCCTGCTGTGTGGCCTCGTGTAGTCGCTAGGACTCTATGAGCTTCAGTGCGTCCATCTCCCCAGAAAGTGAGGAAGGGATAAGGATACCTCTAGGGAAGACCTGTCCTGCCCTCCAGGCGAGCGAGGGCCGTGGGCTCACCCCGAGGGACCCGATACAGCAGACTCTGGGCAGAGGACCCGCAGCAGCAGTGGGTGTAGTGGGTGCAGGCTAAGCGTCTCTCCTCTGCTCCAGGCAGGGTCACTCTGTCCAATGTGTCTGAGCGGAAGGACAACATGCGCCTCGGCCTGAGCCTTGCCACCAACCCCAAGGACAACAGCTTCCTGGTAAGATCATCAGCCCCACTGCTGTCCCCAGCATTCACCCCTGCGCAGACCTCTGCACAGGTGTGGAGAGGCCCAGCCAAGCATACCCTCACCCATGCTTCTGCACACCCTTGCATGCATGTCCCTTCCACCCTCCAGATGGCCCATTCCTACAGACCAACAGGGAGAGACCCTGCATGGGTGTGGGTCTTCCTGCACGGATGACTGGGCCCTTTGTTCCAGTGGACAGTCCAGGGAGGTAAAAGATTGAGCCTTTTTGTGCCCATACCTGGGGAATGGCACAGGAGCTGGGCTCCCCTTCTCAGTGGCCTTGCCGTCCCTGAGAAACTCATCTTTGGCCCTTCCTTGGCCAAGAGCCTGACACAGTGGTTTCGGCAGCAAATTCCACAGAGCAGAAGCATTCTTTTTCTTCTTCTCCTGGCTCAGCCCTGGAATTTGCACAGTGAGGGCCCTTGCAGACAAGAGCCAGCCTAACGACTCTTGGAAGGTCCACTCCTGAGGAAGGCTTCCTCAGACCCCGTGGAGTATATGGTCAAGTACAAGGAGGAAGAGCCACCACCCCAGATTACAGGATGGAGAATGGGACAGGGGTCCAGGTTCCCATGTTCCCCAATACACCTGAAGTCAAGGGCACTGCAGCAAGAGAGATGTCAGTGAGACTCGGAGACCTCTCACGCTAGGAATGCCAGTGCTCACGAAGACGTTTGTCTTGGGTTCTGGAGGTTGAGACTGGGCCCTGTCGGGAGCCCCATGACGGGGCTCTGTGCTGTGCTCCTTCACAGGCCTGCAGCCCTCTCTGGTCCCATGAGTGTGGAAGCTCCTACTACACCACCGGCATGTGCTCCCGAGTCAACTCCAACTTCCGGTTCTCCAAGACAGTGGCTCCAGCACTACAGAGTGAGTACCTTCAAACCGGAAGGCTCCGGATGCACCGGGGCAGTCCAGGGAGGAGGCATGGGCTCTGCTATGGCTACCTTGTACCTACAGAGAGCAGCACATGGGCTCTGTGACTGCTTCAGACCTCTGCATGATCTGAGAGGATCACTTGTGCTGGCTGGGCAGGGGAGTCTTCTAGCTGGGCCCCTGTATGGTCCTCATCCCAGGCTGCCCCCCCCCCCCGCCCTACCACCACAGTGTGACAGTTGGTAACAAATCAGCTAAATTTATGAAAACCATCTTGGCATCTATGGAAGCTTCCTGTAGAATCCTCAACTCCTCCTCTTGAGCACGGAGGAGGTTGCCAGGCCACCATGTATAACAGCCCAGGCTGGGGCGTCACTCATTTAGACTAGAGTGTGAATGATGTTCCTTGACATCCTGCAGCGGAGAGCCAAGGAGAACAGAAATAACCTGGGTGATGGTTACACCAAGTCAGCGTTCCCGGGCAGCTTGCCCAGAGCCTCGTGGACACGGAACCTCCCCCTCCTTCCCAAGCAAACTTGGGGAGCTAGAAGCCTAGACTTCTTGGCTCTGAGCCTCACCATTTCCTCTGGGCTAAACACCCTCAACAAGCAGCTGTTGCCTGTTTATGGAGGGCGAGGGGATTAGCACCTCTGGCTCAGGCAGCCTCCCCTCAACACCCGCTCCTGGAGGAGGGGAAAGGGGAAACATTATCTAGTCAGCTGTCAGCTGTGGGGTGGGGAGGCATGGGGTCCACGCACACGGTGTCCCAGGCAGCTCCAGGGCACAGAGGAAGGTCAGCGCACCAAGGATTTCCTCGGGGGTAGGGCATCACAGCCCTGATGTTGCTGGCTGCTGCTGGCTGTGGTAGAGCCCTCCTGCCCTGGCCCAGGGCATCAGTCCCCTAGGACTTGGCAAACACAGATGCCAAGGTAACCTTCATGTACTTTCTAACTAAGGGGGCCTTGGGGAAGGCTGAGGAGGGGTCTGCCATGTTTAAGAACTGCAGACCTAAATAAGGCTGGGGAGATGGCTGAGCCAGCAGAGTGCTTGCTGTGGTAACATGAAGACCTGAGGTCCATCCCCAGCATCTGCATCCAAAGCTGAACTGGTGGCATGTGCCTGTCACCCCAGCACTGGGGAGGCAGAGACAGGAGGCTTCCTGGGGCCGACTGTCCAAGTCAGTCTAGCAAAACAAGAGAACTTCCAGTTCAGTGAGAGACCCTGCCTCAAAAGATATGGTGGGGAGAGATTGAGAAAGACACCTGATGTCGACACACACCCATACATGTGCGCACGCGCGCGCACACACACACACACACACAAACACATATGCACACATCAAAAGCCCACAGATTCATAAACAGGTTCTTCCCAAGGTCTATTTGTTTAATTTATTTATTAAATTAATCAATTGATTGATCGAGTGATTTTGCTTGTTTGAGTTTGGTTGGTTGGTTTTAGTTTTGGTTTTGGTTTTGGTTTTTTGAGACAAGGTCTCTCTACATACCCCTGGCTGTCCTAGAACTCACTCTGTAGACCAGGCTAGTCTTGAATCCATAGAGATCCACCTGCCTCTGCCTCCCAAGTGCTGGGATTAAAGGTTTGTGCCACCACACCCAGCAAGATTTACTTGTTTTTATTCTATATGTATGAATCTTTGGCCTGCATGCAGGTATGTGTACCACAAGCATGCCTGGTGCCCACAGAGGCCAGAAGATGGCATCGAATCCCCTGGAATTGGAGTTACAGATGGCGTAAGCCAGTATGTGGGTACTTAGAACTGAACCTGAATCCTCTGCAAACAGCAAAAAGTGTTTTTAAGCACTGAGCATCTCTCCAGCCTCCTCTGCACAAGGTGTCTTTTTAAAAACAATGAAATTAAAGGAGAATCAAAATAATAAATCTCATGTCTCAGTGAGAGACTATTTCAAAACACCAAGTGGATGGCTGTTGAGAAGGAAGGACACCTCAGGCTGACATCTGTGGAGGGGAGAAAGAAAGGAGGGGAGGGGAGGGGAGAGAGAGGAGGCAAGACTGAGCACAGCATCACAATCTGTAATCCCAGCACTGGGAAAGTAGGGACAAGAGGATCAGGAGTTTAGGGTCATCCTCAGCTAAAGAGCTAGTTCCAGGCCAGCCTGCAGTACATGATATCTTGTCTTAAGAAAAAGGGGGCGTGGGGGAGTAAAAATAGGATCAGCTAAGACTTATTGAGCTCTTGCCTTTAGACATGTCTTCCCATTAACCCTTGATGGTGACTCTTAGTTATTATGCCCTTCTTTCAGCACCGAAAACTGAGAGTGACCGCCCTCAGGCCACACAGCCAGTGAGCAGCAAGGCCAAGAGCTACAGGCTGATGCCAGGGTGCACATTCCCAGCCTTTCCTTGATGACTCCTTCGTAAAACATGAAACCCATTAGTGGAAGACACTACCCGCCCATGGCAGTAAAGGAAATGGTCCTAAGGTTCTGATTCGGGCGGGGCCAAGGAAGCAATGATCAGTCGACAGCCATCAGTCTCTGATGGGGAGCAAAGGGATCAGGTTCAATTGCAGCTCTGTCCAAACAGCTCACTGGGTAGTGCTTTGGAACCAGGACATTCTAGCTGCCTTGCTTATGTGGCTCAAATGAATGCCTAGCCTGAGGACAGCTCTCCATGCAGGGGATGACAGACATCAGCAATCATTCTTCCACTGGTCTTTAAAGATCATCCAGAACATGAGAGACTTGGGAGTGGGGACATAGCTCAGCTGGAGAAGTGCTTACCATGCGAGCATGAGGTCTTGATCTCCAGCACCATGTAGAAAGCCAGACATGGCAATGTATACTCATAATCCCAGCACTGGACAGGACAGGACAGACACCTGGGGCGTACTGCCAGCCCAACTAGCTTACAATAATAAAAAAAGGAAGGTATTCTACAGACCCTGTAAAAAAGAAATAAGGCAGATGGCTCCTGAGAAATGAGACTCGAGACTGACCTCTGACTTCTATACACAACAAACACACACACACACACGCACGCACGCACGCACGCACGCACGCACGCACGCACACATACACCAACACAGACAAAAGAAAGGTTTCTTTGAGTAAGAATGTTGGAGATTTATGGACACTCGTTCCTTGATGGCCCTGACTTGTATCCCTGCTTCCAGGGTGCCAGACCTACATGGACATCGTCATTGTCCTGGATGGCTCCAACAGCATCTACCCCTGGGTGGAGGTCCAACATTTCCTCATCAATATCCTGAAAAAGTTCTACATTGGCCCTGGCCAGATCCAGGTGAGTGACTCCAGGGCCTGCCTCTGCTGAGCAGGATCCCCAAGAAGCCATGGCCTGAGGGGCCACAGCACAGGGCAGCATCTTCCCATGGAAGGGTAGGCACTGGTCGGGCCAGCCAGCCCTAGGACCTGCTGCCGCAGGTGCCCGTTTCTGGTGGGCACACCAAGGATGCCTCCAGGGGATGACTTCACCTATGAAGATGACCAGCTAGAGAGTCAGAAGTCAGGGAAATCGGGAAGGCATGGAAAGGGTGGGCAGAAAGGCTGGGGGACAGCTGGGGTGTGGAGGCTGGGAAGAGTCAGGCATGTGAACCCTGGGAGAAATGACTTGGAGGAGGCCCTTGTTGCCAGTGCATCCGTGAGACCCTGGTGGATAAGGGCTACAGTTATTTCCTAGTATTCTGGCTGGGTGAGGACCAGGAGACCAAAGTGACAAAGTGGCAGGTGCCAGCTCTACAAAATTCTTTCTGTGCCAGAGAAGTGACCCGGCATCCAGAAAGAATCCATGCCAGAATGCCAGGCATGGTGGTGTGTGTTTGTAACCCCAGTGCAGGGAGGGTAGAAGTCAGTCAGTCTGGCCTAATTGGTGAGCTCCAAGTCAATGAGATACCCTGTGTCAAAGGAGGCGGATGGCATCCATGATGGTGATACCTGAGAGTTTTCTCCAGTCTCCCCAATATCACACATATACATATACACACATACACATACCACATAAACACACACATGCACATATCCCACATACATATACCACACACCCATACATACACACCATATACACCACACACACATATGCACATATCCCACACACAAACACAAACACACACGCATGTACTCCATACACATATACCACACACCTATACATACATACCATATACACCACACACACACACACACACACACACACACACATATGCACATACCCTACACACAAACACAAACACACAGGCATGTACTCCACACACCTATACACAATACACACACACACACACACACACACACACACACACACACCCTGCATACAACACACACAAAGGTTTTTTTAAGAAACCTTCTAACTAGTAGGGTTGTTAAAAGGGAGCCAAGTCCTGCAGTGACAAGCCTCCCCGCCACCCCCACCCCCACTCAAAGACAGTCTTTGGTGCACTGGGGTAAGTACCCAGCATTCGAAGGGTTCTTGGACCCAGTAAACTCGGTGAGCCCATCCGACAGCAGCATTATCACTAAGTCCCTGAAACTAGTCTCTATGGCTTGGTGTTTATTTTGAAGCTATTAATAGTGCGGAAGCATTATCCACCTTGAAAATGTCAGACCCCTTCTTATCCAAGTTTCAGGGATTCTTTGTCATACAGTTTGGTCAACAATCCTATGGTCCTAGTAAATTCTGATAAACCCACATACTGCTCCTGATAAATTATGGGGAGTGGGGATTTGAGTTGGGGTTGGAAGTGTGGCCTGGGGTGTAGGGGTGTATGTGCATGTGTTCATGTGTATATGTACATATATGCACGCAGATATGTGTACATGTGTGTGCGGCAGCCAGAGACTGATGCTGGGTGTCTTCCTGTTCTATGCATCTTTTGAGGCTGAGTGTCTCATTGAATCTGAAGCTTACTGGTCTGGCTGGGCTGACTGGCCAGAGAGCTCTAAGGATCCACCAGTTTCTGCCCTGCAGATACCACCACACACAGCTTTTAAACGGGTGCTGAGGATCTGAACTCTCCTCGCACAGCGAGCACTGTTCCAGCTGGAGCTCTCCCCAGCCCCGGCTCCTGGTGGTTTAGACTTCTAGTCTGTGTTCATTCTCCATCTTCTTAAGGAAGATATTCAACCTGATGGGCTTCCCTCTCTGTGCCCCTGATTTTTCACATCAAGCCATCTGTCCATTCCCCTAAACAGCCTGTCTCCCTTGGCCCGTGGCTTCCTCTGGGAAGGACTCCCTGGAGAGGAGACCCTCACAAATGGAGGTCTTAGCTTCAGGGTTCTGCTCCCCTCTGCTTTGGTTTGCAGGTCGGAATAGTTCAGTACGGAGAAGATGCAGTCCATGAGTTCCACCTCAATGACTACAGATCTGTAAAAGACGTGGTGGAAGCCGCCAGCCACATTGAGCAGAGAGGGGGGACAGAGACCCGCACAGCATTTGGCATTGAATTTGCACGGTAAAAAAAAAATGTGAAAGTGTGTGTGTGTGTGTGTGTGTGTGTGTGTGTGTGTGTGTGTGTGTTTGTATAGGTATATATATGTGTGTATGTGCATATATGTGTGTATATATATTTATTTTTATGTATTTATATATACATATATCTCAGATACTCTTTTGGCTATTCTTGTTGTGTTCCTACCATTTCAGTGCTTCCAAACAGTGACTTGTTAATTCCTCAAAGTTCTGACGGTGGACTGGGCTTAGTTGCCTGGGTCCTCTCTTGGGTCCTCTCGCCTGGTTATGATCTGGTGTCAGCTAGAGTGGTTGTCACCTGGAAGTTCACCTAGGCTAGAAATGTAAGACAGCACATTCATGTTGCCGTCCACACGAGCACAGACTGGTGATCTAAGCACCCAGCTGTGGCCATCTGGCTTGGTTTCCCAACATTCTTACAGTGGTCCCTCGACTCTCGTTTTCTTGAAGGAGAGAATTTGATCAAGAGACATGCACAGTTTAGACAGGGGTTTACTTAGCAAAGCGAGCACCCCAGAGAGAGGCCAGAGTGGGCTGTAACACTGGGAGCAGCCCTGTGGGTCCTGCTTTGTGGGTATGTTTAAGTGTTTATATTTGGGATGGATCACATCTTAATCAGTGTTCTAGGGCTGTGATGAGACACCGGGACCACAGCCACTCTTACTAAGGAAAGCATTTAATTGAGGCTGTCTTACAGTTTCAGAGGTTCAGTCCATGATCATCATGGCAGGGAAGCATGGTGGTACCCCGGCAGACACGGTGCTGGAGAGGTGATTGAGAGTTTCACATCTGGATCCATAGGCAGCAGGAAGAGAGAGTCACTGGCTTGGGCTTTTGAAACCTCAAAGCCCACACCGAGTGCCCCACTTTCTCTAACAAGGACACACCTCCTAGTCCTTTCAAATAGTGCCATTCTCTAAACACTCAAATATATGAACCTATGGGGGCCATTCGTATTCAAACCCCCCTCAGATCAGATCTCCCTATTAGGGTAGTTCTTCCCATGAGCCTCACAGAAAGGGGATAGGTGTCAAAACCACCATGCAAGTGGTATTATAATGGGGGCCCTTCAGTGGTGCACATGTGTGGATAGATGACCTGACCCTTAGTTTCTGGAATATTGGGAACAACCTAACTGCAGCTTCAAGGATGTTTGCCCATAAAGGGGTCTTCTGACCATCAGTAGACACAGCTGCCTGAATCCAGCTGCAGTCTTCCTCAGTTACTTCAAAACTAACTCCTTTGCCTACTGGGTCCTAATATCATGGCATTGAGGAGTTCACAAGAGACCCAGGAGGAACTGGGAGACTGCCTAGGACCTAGCCAGTGGGTGCCAGGATGTGACTTCCAATACATTCCATTACCCAAGCAAGTTACCAAAGGCCAGGCCCTAACCAAAGGTGTGATTCTGCCTCTTGATAGAGGAATGGCCAGGTCCAATGGATGCCCCACAGAGACTCAGCTGCCCCTCCTCCCAACCCCCCCTTTCCACATCTGGTTCCAGCTCAGAGGCTTTCCAGAAGGGCGGAAGGAAAGGAGCCAAGAAAGTGATGATTGTCATCACGGATGGGGAATCCCATGACAGCCCAGACCTCGAGAAGGTGATTCGGCAAAGCGAGAAGGACAATGTGACCAGATACGCTGTGGCCGTAAGTCCTGCCCCTGCTCAGAGCTCTACCCTCAAACCCCCAGGGATTCCAGGGAGCTGCCTCCCTAGCAAAGGCACAGCAAGCTGCATCCTCCTCTAAAGAACAAGTTGAGTGTGCAGGAGGCCCTAGGTTCCATCACCAGCAATGTATAAAATCAGAGATGGTGGTTCACACTTGCAATCTTAGTCGCCCTTGGCTTCATGGCAAGTTCTGAGCCAGCCGGGGCTACTTTTGTTTCTATGTGTACGCAGAAATGTATGAGATTGCATTTTCCTTCTTTTTCCAGGGAGTTTCAAAAAATAGAAAGGACCCCCAATCCTCCCAGATTCCAGAACCCCAGATAATCTTAAGGATCTTACCTGGGAACCCCAAAGAATATCTGTTTCAAAATGCCAGTGGCGCCTGAGAAAGGCTCATGGCTGTAGCCCACCTCCAGGTCCTTGGGGTTCAGGATTGTGGGTGTGTGGAGAAAGAAGTCAGTACTATGTCCTGGTCGTCCCTGCCCCTGTTCCCTGGCAGGTCTTGGGCTACTACAACCGCAGGGGGATCAATCCAGAAACTTTTCTAAATGAAATCAAATACATCGCCAGTGACCCGGATGACAAGCACTTCTTCAACGTCACAGATGAGGCGGCCCTGAAGGACATTGTCGATGCCCTCGGGGACAGGATCTTCAGCTTGGAAGGTGACCAGCTCTTGGGCTTACACTTCCATCCAAGGACTCTAATTTCACAGAGCACAGTGGCTTAGCAAAAACCATTGTCTGACCCAAACTGCCCACTGCAGGCACCACTCTCTGTAGAATCTAACTGGGCTGAGTATTTTGTGAGACTCTGTTGTTTGACTACTGAGGACATTTCGGAGGGAGGGTACGTTTGAACTAGGGTTGCCAGACTTAGCAAACATATAACAGAAGTGCTTATGACAGGCATACACTAAAAAATTATATATTGCTTCCCTAAGTTCAGATTTCCCTGGCTACTCTATATTTTATCTGGTAACTCCAGTTTGAACCCAGCAGGTCTGGCTCCATTTCCTGAGGCAGGCCCTACATGTTTTCCCAGAACCTACAGGTTCACACTCTACCACTTTTGTGAAAGTCAAAACCATAGTTTGAGGCTGGGAATGCACCTCAGTCGGGAGAGCACTTACCTAGCATGCTGAAGCCCTGGCTTCGATCTCCAGCACTGCTGCATAAAACCAGGCATGGAGTGCTTGCCTGTGACCCCAGTACTCAGGAGGTGGTGGCAGGGGATGCAGAATCGGGTCACCCTCAGCTACATAGTGAGCCTGGGCTAGAACAAACCCTGTTTCAAAAAACAAGAAGATGATTTAATTCCCCCAGGAGAGCAGCATGTGGGAGAACCCTGCAAAGAATCCCATTTGCAGAGATCTCATTCTTGCCATGTATTTCTGGGATGCACCGTTCTCACATGGGGCTCTCGGCATCTGGGAAGGGGGCAGGTATATGGAAAGAAATAAGAGGTAATGAGTGTCCCAGAACTTGGGAAGTCGGCAATGTGTTGAAATGACACAACAGATGTGAGCAAAGAGACCGTGATGGCTCTCTCAAGCTCGGGCTTTGATGGCTTGTTCAAGGGCCCCTCTGTGGAGTGGACTTTCAGCACACATGGCCTTTCTGGTGTGACTCCACAGTGGTGACAAGCCTCCGTTAATGTTTCAGAACCAGCCACCAAATCCTGTGACCAAAGGGAATGAGCAGAGGGAATAACACTTCTCTCCCAAAACATACATGAACTGCACATGTTTTTGTTTGATGCCCCCCCCACTGCATGTACACTTTAACAGTCGTTTGTAGTGCACATGTTCTGTGGTGTGGCTTATCCCAGGGTCTCTGCAGAACTGAGTAACTCTGAAGGTGCACACAGGCATGTGTACACACACACACATGCACACGCACGCACGCACGCATACACCCACACACTCTGATAGTCATTGTTAATACCCAATAACAGGGGGACAATGAGGTAGCACAGGCCTCACCTCAGTGCCCCCTCAGAAAAGAACCCCAGTTCCCAAGATGCCTCAGGAACCAGGACCCGTGGACAAACCAGTGATGCCCAGAGCTGAGATCTTCTCTTTCCTGTTTTAGGCACCAACAAGAACGAAACCTCTTTTGGGCTGGAGATGTCACAGACGGGCTTTTCCTCACATGTGGTAGAGGTACGGGACCCTCTCCTGCTCCCTCCCCACTCCCTCTCTTCTCACTCATGCAGGTCTGTCGGGCATGGGTACCTTTTATGGTTCTCTCTGTCTTTCTCAATGTCTCTTTGTCTCCTACACTCTTCTGAGGACTGGAATGGGGAAACTGTCTTCAAATAATTCTATTGTTTTCTGCCTGCTTCAGAAGCCAGCTCACTACACATGTTTCACACCCACCCACCGACCCACAGGCAGGAAGCAGAGTGGGGCGGGGCGGACCTCCCAGGGCCCAAAGTCTCACTCAGTCCACAGAAACCTATGCAGTCAGGTCAAATGACAAAGCCAACAGATAGAACGTGATAGCATCGGTGTCCGGGGTGACCTATGCAAGCTGGGGCAGGGCCTGTGTCCATGTCGGGGAGGTGTCTGTAGGTTGCAGCTCCAGCAGGTGGCTTACAAAACCCATCTCTGTTCAGACTCTGCATTGGAGTCTAACTGTCCCAGGTGTACCTTGCCCACAGAGGAATGGCTACAGGTGTCCCTAACAGCATGTGGTGTTAGGAGCCATGGAACCTCACAGAGGGACAGAGTCAGTGTTTGGGGAAACACTAATGGATTATCAAGTCCTGGGAGTTCCAGGGAAGCATGCCAGCCCCGAGAGTTTATCAGTGCATGCTCTCACAGCTATGCTTCAGACAGGCGTTTTGGTCTTGTGCGTGTGTGTATGTGTGTGTGTGTATGTGTGTGTGTGTTGGTGTGTGTGTGTGTTGGTGTGTATGTATTGATGTGTATGTTGGTGTGTATATGTGTTGGTATGTATGTGTGTTGCTCTGTGTGTGTGTGTGTGTGTGTGTGTGTGTGTGTGTGTGTGTGTACACTGTCCAGACTAGCACTATATGATTTTCCAGAGAAGGTCTGCAGGCTCACAATGATTACACACCAATCCCTCTGTCACCCCACCACATCCTCTGAACCCTTCTGTGATGTGGGCAGGGCAGGACTCCTGGTTCCCATCCTGCAGGTAAAGAAAGGGTTCACTATGAGGTTAGGTGAGTGGGGGCTAAAGTGATGTGAACAAGGACTATGTGAGCTCTTCCCTCTGCAGCCAGCAGCTGCTCCAAGAGGGGCTCCCAGGAGCTCTGCGTCAGAGATCCCAGATTGAAGAGAGGGGCTCATGCACGCCAAGCAGCAGGCAGATGTTTGGAAATGTGGCTCATGCTGATTTTTCCAGGCTGCATCTGTACAGTATCAAGTCCACTGCAGTGAATGCAGCAAGATGTGATTATGGTTGTCCCATCATCCCAGCAGCCACTGGCCAGATGCACAGCACCGTAAACTTTCCCCAGGGGTCCCTGTACCTCTTTTCATGCTCAAAAGAGACCTGTGATGTCTGCAAGTGGTGACAGTGATCCTGATTTAGGGGGCTGGGTCCACTGGTCTTTTTGGTGTCTTCTTATTGCTGGGATACCGGAGGCGCAGAAGTGGAGCTGGGCCGCCAGGAGGCAGGAGCTTACATCTGCGTGAGGTCAGGCAGCCAGCCAGTCCCTGCCCAGTACTGTCCCTGCTGTACTGTCTCTGTGGAAAGGGCAAGAATGAGGATCTGACTTTAAATACCCAGCACCATTTAAAAAGTCAGGCACAGCTGCATATGCCCATAACTCCAGCATTGGGAGAGAGAGATGGGGAGGGGGGGTCATGAGAGCTCACTGACTAGCGCGTTCCTAGCCAAAGTGATAGGCTTCCAGTTCTGTGAGAGACCGCTGTCTCAAGGCAGTAAGGTCAACAGTGACATCTGATATTCTGCTCTGGCCCTCAAATGCACATGCACAGGCACTTGCATGGGCATGCACTCCTGCATACTCACATGCATGCACCCACCACACAGAAAGGGCAGCAGGGAGGGGGGACCAAACACAGCAAGAAGATGCAACTTCCTGCAATGCAGGGAGCATTGATTAAAATGCAGCCAAAATACCAAAGGGAATCAGAAATGACTCTTCCCACCCAAAATCAACCTACAAACCATCAAAAAAAAGCAGTCCTTGGCTTTGAAAGCAGGATGAAGAGAACTATAGCTGTCTCCCAGGAAACCATGTACAGCCCCAGGGGACCATGCCAGGAGCCCCTATTAAGACTATGTGTATGTGCCAGGCGTGTACATCCAGTGCCAAACACCGCAATGCATCATCCTGTGTTGCCAGGCACTGTGGGTAAAAGTTAAGGTACCATTTCAGGTGACAGTAGTTAGTCCTGACTGGGGAGAAAGCCTCTCTAGTACTGTGTCTATATTTGTCCAAGAACCAGGGGCCCCAAAGAGAAGGGAAGGCCGAGATGTGTCTTGAAGACTCAGGGAGCTTGGACTGAGCCCTAGCAAAGGCCCTGCTGCATGGTCAATACTTGCAGGACCAATTGGTGTCCCAGCTATATGGAGGGGAGGAGGTGGGCAGGGAAAGCCAGGAACCTAGACCTCCAGCTTGTACTTTAGGGAGTCAAAGTCGAGACTGCTCTATGGAGCATCTACATATGCTCCCCAAGTTTCTGTTCCCCCATTCAAATGGAACCCCATGTCTTCGATCCCTTCTGACTGCCTGGGTCTTGTTCTTACATGTCAATCACCCACCAGATATTTAAAGAGATCATTACATATGAATCTGAGACTCTCAAATTAAAAAAACAAAAACAAAAAAATCCTTCCAAATATAAAAGGATGGCACAGTGGTAGGCTGCAAGGCCCTGGCCCAGCCACTGGGTTACTATTTTAGAGCACAGCATATTCCAGAGCCAGGCTGCTGACGTCATAACTGACAACAGCCATCCTGTCCCAGGAACCCAGTGCCTCTGCTCTCAGAGTCAGTCAGCTTGCTATAGGGACTGGGTCACCAGGTCCTCAGGGTCAGCCAGGCTGCTCTGGACATTGAGGCAGTGGGCTCAGCCGTTCAGCTTGAGTCTAAGTCCTGAACCACAGGAAGGACTTTGCTCATACTTCAAAACTACAGCCCATCCGTGACTGGAGCTCACGGCCACTACTCACACTGCGTCCACAGTCAGGAAGCAGAAGATGCACACTGGTGCTCAGGCTTGCTTTCTTCTTTTTGTTCAGCCCCACCCATGGAATGATTTAGGGTGTGCCTTCTCAGCTCAGTTCACTCAGTCTAGAAACACCTTCACAGATACAACCAGAGATTATCTTCTAGGTAGTTCTAGATCTGTCCAGCTGTCAATCAATATCAACCATCACATCACACCCAGACTCCTCCTCCCAAAGTGGGCACAAATGAACTGCGAAAGCTGCCGTCTGAATACATGCTAACGGAGCCCCAAGTTCCCTGGGCCTGTTCAGTTCCGTGAGAAAGAAAGGTTCCTAGCCCTATGGAGTATTCTAATAGCAGAAGAAAAGCCCCACTCCTCATCCCCCTACTTTACTTTGGAAACCAGAGTTTGAGTTGTGAAAACAGGATCTAAGCCCATCACACAGACAAGCCCCCAAGACATCACTGGACATTCATAGAGTCCCACAGTCCCAGGTAAAGGACAGAAGACTTAAGGCCACAGGAAAATCCCCACATAACCAGAAACTCTAGTTTGCAGAAAGTAGACAGAACATTCCAAAAAACAACTATCAGGAAAAGTAGCTATGGATTCATGGTCAAACTTTAGACCAGAGTTTAAAGTTGATAGTTTCACTGACATTTAGGAATGAATGCAGAGGTCACCCACCAGGAGCTGGAGTAACTCTAGTGGGTGGTGAACTCCCTGACAACCAGGGACTCAAACTGCATAAGAAAACTTCTGGAAGGAACCCCAACTTTCAAATGGAGAATAGACTCAAGTCTAGGGCTCCAAGGCCTTGGAGGAAAATTTAAACAGTCAATGCCCACTTGTGCGAGGTCCTAGGGTACTCTTCCTACACAGGGTTCCATGGGAGGAACACCACTTTGACCCTCTGCAGTAACACCATACCTCTGCCCAAATGTCTCCAGATATTGCCAGGTGCCACCTGGGGGACAGAACTACCCCAATCAAAAGCCAGAGTCCTAGACATTCTCTGGAACTGTCCCTGCAGTTAAGGCCACCCAGGTAGAGACACCCTGGAGCTGTGTCATGGAAGCCCAGTGGCCCCATAAATCTAGGGTGGCCTAGAGGCCATAAGTCAGGGAATCCAGACAGACCCATGAAGAAACATGGGATGCCAGATGCCATCCCCCCCCCCCATGAGTCACTGTCATTTCCCAGCTGGGCCACACGTCTGGCCTTTTCCCCATGGATATTCTAGATTTTCCCCTCCAGACTCTGGATGCCTGGGGGCCCCTCAGCTGGGAAAAGACTGTGGCATGGGGGGGTTTGTTTTGATGGCTTTCGTGTACACACTTCCTAGTACACCTGTCCCCAACAAAGCCATTTGGGGAAAAGTCTCTCAGAGATGGACCCAAGGTCCAAAGGCACAGGGAGACAGGAGCTCTCCTGCTTCTCACTGAAGTCCAGGGTGGTTCTCAAACTCCACACGGGGAGGGTGGAAAGGGCCCCCTCAGCACACCAGAGGTCCCTGCTGTCAGCAAAGCCACACCACCTCTTCAAAACCCTCTCCAGAAGCCAACAAGTCCAGCATGCAGCCACAAACTTGGACTCAGGCAAGCAGATAGGAAGGAAGAATGGCCCTCCTCCCAGAGCGGCTCAGGTGGAAAAGCAGAAGCAGGGGCCACGAGGGGCTTTGGAGAATCAGTGGGGGCTTTGCTTTCTGCCCCACTCACCCTGGCCAAAGACCCAGCCCTGCCTCTGATTTGCTGTGTGACTTCAGGAAAGCTTCTCCCTCTCTCTGAACCTCAAGGGCAGTCTGCCCCTCCCGGGGCCCCTATGGGCTCCCATGGGAGAGGGAGTTTGGGACTGGATGAGAAAGTACTCCACCAAGGAGCAGCACACTCCAACAGCAAGGAATGTTGGCCGTGATGATGGACAACAGGAATTTGAGGTCCGGACCTCAGTCTTGGCGCGGCCCACCGGCAGTGCTTCCCAGCTGAGTGGAGCAGGAGCTAATGAGAGCAGTGGACTTTGAGTGTGACAAAGCATCAGGCGCTCCCCGGGACAGCTTATTTATAGTTGCAAAGGCATTCCACAGGGGAACCTCTCCCTCTGGAGAACTGGCCTTTTCAACTGTTGGATAAGATCAACTTGCCTCTTTAAAATGGCAGGGGATCTTTGAACCCGGCCAGCCAAGCTGGGCTCATGGAGGGTTAGCGGGGAGGTGACCTTAACCTGCCCGTACTGCAAAAGCCCAAAGCACAGGTCAGGCCCTGGGTTCTATCTCACAACCACACACACACACACACACACACACACACACACACACACACACACACTAGGCTAGCCTCAAAGTCACTATGTAGCCAAGGATAACCTTGATTTTAGATCTCTCTGCTTCCACCACCCGAGTGCTGGGATTATAGGTGTACACCATCATGCCCAGTTTATGTGGTGCGGAGAATGGAACCCAGGGCCTTGCCCATGCCAGGCAACCACTCTACCACTGAGCCACATCCCAGGAACACTGAAGCCAGGGAATAACTCCAGGTTTCCACATTTTTGTGGTTGTTGTTGTTGTTGTTGTTGTTTGTATGGAGGAGGAGTCTGCCACTAGCCTTAAGATCACCAAGTAGGCTAGGCTGGTTGACCAGCAAGCCTTGAGCACCTGCTCCTGCCTCCCCAGCACCGAGTCTGCGGCACATGGCGCCATGCTCAGCCGTTTGTCACGGGAGTCCCAAGGACAGAATGCAGGTCCTTGTGCTTCCAAAGCAAGCGCTTTACTGACTGAGCCCACTTTCCGGCCCCTTAAACAAAGACAAACCCTTTTCATAAAAGAAAAGGAAAGCCCAAAGCTAAGATACAGGGTAGCCGCCCCTCCCCTGAATCTCCGGGGTTGGGGGGGTACTATTCTCTCCACCCTCTTCCTGTACTGCTGTCCAGGTACTATTCCCCCGCCTTCAGAGCTTGCTCTTTGCCTTCCTGTGCCCACTAGTCATGTGGGTTGCTCACATTGAGGTGGGGAGGGTACAGGGACCCAGTTCTCAGCAAATGACCAGATAGACAGGAATATAGACACTTGCTGCCTTCATACCTAGGCATGGCAGCATGCGCTTGTCCTGCAGCTAATGGGTAGGTCAAGAGACACCTTCCAAACCAGTGAAGAAACAAACTCCATGGCCCTGGTTTATCTGCCCAACCTGTCTCAGTCCACTCTGCTTCTGTTCCACAGCTCTCGGCTCCTAGAAAGCAGAACTCTGCCTTCCCTGGAACTCAGGTCACCTGTGGGAGACCGGCTCCCACTTTTCCCCCCAGGGTGCTCTGGAGAGAGGGATAAGAGATTTAGATAGAAGGATAGAGGGGAGAGAAAAAGACAGAAACACAGGATAACCTCAGGAGGTCCTGGATCTTTATCCACCGGCCCCTTCTGTCTCTTCTAAAGGACTTTTTATAAGAACGCCAAGGGGTGGAGCAAAAGACCTCCCCCTAGCACAGCCAAGTGCAGACCCTTCCAATCACCTGGTAACCACACACGTGGTCAAGTAATCCTCTAATGCAGCTCTGCTGGATAAAGCAAGCTCAGATCTCACTAGGAACCTTTGTGGGCCTCCACAATCACCTGTGGACAGCAAGGCTTGAAGGAGTGTTGGGGTGGGTAGGTAACAAGAGGTCAGAGTGGTTTAAAAGCCCAAGGAAATGTGGAAGGTTTGTCCTGGGTTTGGAGTTTATTTCTAGAATGTTCCTTTATCTGTTTTTAAATTCACGCCCTTGAGATCAGCATGACCCATTTTGCTAAGGATGAGACAGAGCATGATGGTCTCTGGAGCTTGTCTGTAAGTCCAGAGGCCCAGATGGAAGCTGGGTTTCTATGTCACCCTGGCAAAGGTACCCCAGGTGACTAGTGGTGCCTCAGAGATTGCAAGACCTGGGTGCTTTCAAGCAAGAGGTCCCTAGAAACAGGGTCTGATGCTATGTTCTTCCCTGGTGCCAGGATGGGATCCTCCTGGGAGCCGTGGGAGCCTACGACTGGAATGGGGCGGTACTGAAAGAGACAAGTGCAGGCAAGGTGATCCCTCACCGAGAGTCCTACCTTAAGGAGTTCCCGGAGGAGCTGAAGAACCACGGCGCATACCTAGGTGAGGCCCGTGGGAGGGTGGCTGGTGACAGAGGGTGAGGAGAGCCCCAGACTGAGGGGCCCATCTGTACCTGTAGGTGACTCCAGGCCTATCTACAAGGCCAACTTCTCCCTAGCTGCATCACACACTCCACGCCAGCTTCTAAACACACAGAATAAATGACGGGAAGTCCCCTATAACATAAGCAGGCTTCGGTGGAAGCTTCTAGACTCTGTCAGTTGTCAGGGTCCTTAAAGCTTCAGGTCCAGACTGTAGCTGCATCCCACCGGGCCTGCCTCCCCTACGACAAAGTGCAAGTCTTGTCTCCCTTTTATTAAATAATTCTGTTTGGTTTGTGGGCCGGGGATCAAGCACTGGGCCTTGCATAGGCCAATCATATGCTCTCCACTGAGCTACATCTCCAGGCCCTTTTTATTAACCCACGAGCTCAAAGGAAAGAGAACTCACTATTCCTCCTCGGGCCTGGTGATGCCCCATGCCAAAACATGGCAATGTGTCCTGAGCACCCAGCCCCAGAGACCAGTCTGTTCCTTCCTTTGGCAGGGTACACAGTGACATCGGTCGTGTCCTCCAAGCAGGGGCGGGTGTATGTGGCCGGAGCCCCCAGGTTCAACCATACGGGCAAAGTCATTCTGTTCACCATGCATAACAATCGCAGCCTCACCATCCACCAGGCTCTTCGGGGCGAGCAGGTAATGGGGGACTGGCTGCGGGGGGGGGGGGGGCTCTGGGCAAGGGCTAGGGTCTGACCTGGGCAGAGTGGGTAAAGGGGCTTTTCCCTCGCAACAAGAAGGTCCCACACCCGCTGTGTAGAAGGCACAGGTCCAATTCTCTCTATGATTGAAGGTGCCTGCAAAAAGTTACCACCCTAAACAGCCACAGAACCTGCACCTCAATGCCAGGCCAGCTCCTGAAGGGAGCCTGTGGCAACTTCCTCCCTCCATCTTATGGACCTCTTGTCTCTACAGTGCTGGATGAGCTCTGCTGCTAGCCTGCCGGGTCAGTCCCTGCCTCGTGGGCTCAGGAATAGCAGCTCCAGGCAGCGTCAGGGTAGAGCGACCTGGCCTGGGCTTCTCCTGGCCCTGGGGTATCCTGAAAGGACAGTCACCCTCCTTGGGCTGCCTTGTGCCATCCCTTCACCCCACAGCAAGACCCACAGGGACACCGGCTTCTTCCTTTTCCCTGGAAGTAAAGCTCACTGCTAGTGCCACTGTCCCACTTGGGATGTAGCTGACAGCCAGGCTGTGTGTCAGGCTGTGTCAGATGGTTCCGGTACCAATTAGAAGGCTCTGGAGAGTGAGCACTGGTGGTAGGGAGCAAAATGAATCACTGCAGCAGCCAAGGAAGCCGTGGTCCTGGGAAGCAGCACAGCTTCTTCCGGATCCTACAGCAGGTTCCTGACCAGGCTACATTAAGAACCCAGGCTATTGCATTACGTCACCTCCTAACTCCCAACAGCCCCCAGACCAGGCCTTGGCATCTCCTGACTGACAGCATCCCTCGGTACCCTGGCCCCCAGCTAAGCCCCACCCAGGCCCTGGCCGGCCTTCTCGAATGACTTGAAGCCTGAGCATAGCCCCATCCTACAGTGTCTCCTGTCCTGACCTGTCACCAGGACACACTCCTCTCCTATCAACTGGAGCCCTAGCTACAGAGGGTCAGGGTTCTCCTACCCTTCTCCCAGGCCAATGGGGCACTGGTATGCCCTCTTGTTCAGACTGGCAAACTCTGCCCCATCCCACTCCACCCCATCCACCCTGATTCAGCCCTATCCAGTCCACTCCGGGCTTATCCTTCAGGAAGAAAGGCTAGACCTGGGAACTGCCGGGAATACGCTGATAACTCAAGACTTTCCTGACGGGCTCCACCTCCAACACCTAAACAAGAACCCATAGTGCTGAAGGCAGCGAAATTATGTAGATCCCAGATTAGTGTGACCCACACAGCCGAAGCCACAGATTCAGTTGACTTTTCCTGTCTGCCTTATAATTACTTTATGGAGACACCTCTCTCCCCTCCCTACCCCGGCCCAGGCTCATTATTTCCTTTTTCTTCTGTTTGTATTCTCATAAAGGTTTTTTGTTTTGTTTTTGAGACAGGGTCTAATGTAGCCAGGATGGCCTTAAACTCACTACATAGCTGAGGGACTGCCTTGGACTCCTAATCCTCCTGCCTCAGCCTCCTGTGTTAGGATTATAGGCAAGCACCACCACATCTGGTTTATGTGGTGCTGTGGCTCAGCCCCAGGACTTCATCATTCTAGGCAAGCACTCTACCAACAAAGCCACATCACCAACCCATGCTGAAGTCTTGAGACTTAAGAATAGGCTTCTGAGCTGAGCACCATGGTGCACTCCTTTAGTCCCAGCACTTGGGAGGGAGAAGAAGACAGATCTCCGTGAGTTCAAGGCCAGTCTGGTCTACATAGCAAGCTCCAAGACAGCCAGGGCTACATGGTTTTATGCCTGGAGGTTGTGGCAGAAGAAGCATTAGACTTCTGGTGTCAGAGCAGCCAGGCCCAGCAATTGTCAGGCTTCTGACCCTGCCCAGGCAAACCGAATTCTCTGGGTTTCAAGTAACCCATGTAAAATGAAAAAACAAGCAAACAAACAAACCAGGCTGAGATGTAAGCTCAGTGGAAGACATTTGCCTAGCATACCAAGCCTTGGGTTTAACACTGCCTCCTCACAGTATGGTGCACCCGTGAGCTAACCCAAGGCTGTAGAATGTCTCACACAGGGCCCTACCACAGGCGGGATGCTGTCCCTCTTCTAAGCATTTACTGAGCCCATCCTGTGTGCCAGGCATGATCCCCAAGCCTACAAGGGCCTACCCTCAGGAGGCTCCCATGGAGGGAGCAACCCCTAGGGGGAGAAGGCACACACTTGTCACAGGCAGTGGGGTGGAGAGGTCAGAGACGCCTTCCACTAGGAAGTGAAGCATCAGCTGAAGCCTGCGTGTCTGCAGGGCAGGGGGGATGTAAGAAAGGGGAAAACAGAGAGAGGGAAGTGAGCCTTAGGGAAGAGAGATAGCTGATGAATGGCAGGAAAGAGGCAGGTGGGGGAGGCTCAATGTTGGGAGCCAGGGCAGCAGAGCAGAGGCTGGGAAGGGAGGCAGATCCTATAGTGACTTGCTAAAGAATTTCAGCTTTATCCCAAACACCAGGTTGTATATAGCCAGGGGTTAAAGGCCAGGCTGCCACCACAAGGTGGGTTGGGAGCCCAGCGCAGGGGAGGAGCAGTCAGGGAACAAATGAGGTGTTGTGGCCAATACCAGGCTGCATATGGTAGAGGTGGAAGTAGAGCCAGGGGGTTCCTCAGTCTCTAATGAATGGAGGAGGATGCCCTCGCCCACATGGAAAGTGCTACACTGAAGGACAGAGACGAAGAGAGTGAGCACTCAGATGGGCAAGAGAAAGCATCAGTCACCATTGGCAATGGGAGTGCCAGTGTGCTCCACGACATTGGAAATGAACTAACTATTGTGACTTGATTAAACCCATCAGGGGGCATAGCTTACTCCGAATCATCAGCAATCACATTACAAAACAACGATCCATCACGGTTGGCTATTGCAACCATGAACTCACAGCCTCTAAGGTTACCTGCACAAGATCAAGCTCACACACACACACACACACACACCAATTCCAGAACAGGTAGGGGAGGAGCTCATGAGGCCCCACCCCTAACTGATGAGTTATTAGCCATTGATAGCTGCTGAATGAAGGAGAGTCCATTCTTTAGGGGTGTGGCCACTAGTACACACATGGGCAATGCTAAGTGGATTTAGTAGGTTGTAACAGCCCTGGCTGTCCTGGATCTCACTTTGTAGACAAGGCTGGCCTCGAACTCACAGAGATCCACCTGCCTCTGCCTCCCGAGTGCTGGGATTAAAGGCGTGCACCACCACCTCCCGGCTTAGTGGGTTGCTTTTTAAAGAAAGAAGAGATGATGTTGAGGGGAGATGATGGAGGGGGATCTGGGGGGAGTTGGAGGGGAGAACTGGAGAGCAGATAGGATTATGTTTTGTTACATACATGTCTGAAAATTCTCAAAGAATAATTTTTTAAATGGGACCTTAACGAGGAAAAATATGTCATGGAGAAAGGCTCTGGGAATATTGTTATATCTAATAATCAGGACAGATGAAGAGCAGTCTCGTTGTAACAATCAGAACACCTTTATATATAAGGACTGGCCATGTAAAGACTGCAGAGCAGAGGAGAGGAGAACACAGTAGAACACTCATGCTGGCTGTGTCTGAATGTTGACACTATGGGTAACTCATTTTTGTCTTCGTAATTTTTTTGTAGTTTCCCTTTTTGCCATTATAATAGTTCTGTTTTTGTCATTATAATATGTCACTGCTCAGAAGAATACGTAACCATAATTAAAGTTAAGTAATAGAAATATAGGAGGGTAGGAAGGAGCTGCCAACTGAGACAGGGAAAGAGACAAGGGTACCCTGAAAGCAGGTAAGTCTGCCCAGAGGAGAGAAGGGGAAGGTGGGCATGAGAAGGGAGGGCTCACCAGGACCCCAAACATTCCAGGTCAAAAGACAACCCAGGTTCCTGGCCAGGGCTGTCAGTGTGAGACCTGGGGACCCAGCTCGATCCTTCTCCCATCCATGTGCCGCAGATAGGCTCCTACTTTGGGAGTGAGATCACCTCAGTGGACATCGATGACGACAGAGTGACCGATGTTCTGCTGGTGGGAGCCCCCATGTACTTCAGCGAGGGCCGAGAGCGAGGCAAGGTGTATGTCTACAACCTGAGACAGGTACTGTGGCCAGAAGGGACCAGGCAGTTCTGTAGGGCATCGGAGTCCTACTCTGACTTGGTCCACCTCGAGGGAACCCGGGTTCCCAGGAGGGCCGGTACCACCTGCAGGACCCAGCCGGGAAGGACAGGAGCCTCTCTGCCCTGGGCTCCACTCTCTGGGCTCCTGTCATCGGGAAGGGTGTGGGGAATGGAGTGAAGAGAAGCCGCTTGGCACAGGCAGAGGGAGTCAGGATCCGAGCCTGTGCCCAGTTCCCTGAGCCTCTCCTCCGCCTGGGTTTTGCAGAACCGGTTTGTTTATAACGGCACTCTGAAGGATTCCCACAGCTACCAGAACGCCCGGTTTGGGTCATGCATCGCCTCTGTTCAAGACCTCAACCAAGATTCCTACAATGATGTGGTGGTGGGTGCCCCTCTAGAGGACAGCCACAGAGGGGCCATCTACATCTTCCATGGCTTCCAAAGCAGCATCCTGAAGAAGCCCATACAGGTGGGGCTCTGCGGAGACTGGGTAGAGCAGAAAGTGGGGGATGCGGGCGGCGCCCATGTACTCCTGGGGCTGAGTTTCCATGCATGCCCTCCTGCAGGAAGGGTCCTGTCTGTCCTAGCTGTGCCTGCCTCAAGTGAAAAGATTGACATGGGTACACTGATGTTCAGGGTGTTCCCCAACCTATCCCCATACACACCTTTATCCTTGACATCAGTCCAACTAAAATCCCAGGCACCAAACATCGCTACCCCAACAGGAACCCCTGTGACTGGGACACTTCCACCTGGGCTCCATTTTTGCTACAAACAGACCCACCCCAGCTCAAATCTGACTTGGCTCAGCCTCGAAGCCATCATAATTTTGCCCATACTCTTTCTCTTTTTTAAAAGAATTGGCTTTTTATTTTATGTGTATGGATGTTTTGCCTACATGTATGTGTTTGCAGTGCCCAAGGAGGCCATAAGAGAGCATTGGATCCCCTGGAACTAGAGTTACAGACCATCATGAGCTGGCATTTGGGTGCTAGGAACAAATTCCAGGTCCTCTGCAAGGGTAGCCAGGGCTTTTTAAAAATATTTATTTATTTTGTGTGTGAATGATGCCCACATGTATGTATGTGCACCACATGCATGCCTGGTGCCCATGGAGGTCAGAAGAGGATGTCTGATTCCCTGGGACTGGAGTTACAAATGACTGTGAATTGACATATAGGGGATGGCTGTGAGGTAACATATGGGTGCTGGGAATCGAACCTGGGTCCTTTGTAAGAGCAACAAGTACTCTTAACCACTAGGCCATCTCTCCAACCCCAATTTTATTTTTCTTTCTTTCTTTCTTTTTCTTTTCTTTTTTTTTTATGTTTTAGAAAAAGGGTTGACCTATGTGGCCCTGGCTGGCCTCAAACTCACAGAGATCCACTTACCTCTGCCTCCCAAGCTGGTGTTAAAGGTGTGTGCTACTACATCTGGTCCATCCATTTTATTTATAATTTCACATATGTGCACCATGCATATTAACCATTCTTACCTCCCTACAACCTCTGTCCACCCCCCCCCC